TCTGACATCATGGAGGTAAGTAAGTAACAGAAGGTCTGGCTGGTTTGCTAAGTAAGATACTGCAGCTGAGAATTGTTTCTTTTCCACACTACAACAGGTTGATCTTGCAACTCCTTGTTTACTTTCTGTCAGCCTTCATCCATGAGATAATCCTCCTTTTTCTTCTTTCACCTCCCCTCTCCTCCCTTGTTTTGCAGATTGTGAAAGCTTTTCCAGCTGGAGGCATTAAGGGGAGGATGTAGCCAGTCTGAGAATGGGGCTTTTCACCAAGAGGAGATCACAATGGCCAGAGAAGATTCAGTGAAGTGTTTGCGTTGCCTGCTTTATGCCCTCAATCTGCTCTTCTGGGTGAGTTCCCACATCCCCTGCTAGAGAAACAGGTGGAACCAACCCCACTTAGATAACCTACCCCAAACAAACATCTTCAGATGCTGCATCAGAGGGACACAGTGGATTATCTGAGTTATCTCACTCTTTTTCTCCCAGAGGAAAAGTGATTGATAGCATGAGGCAATTTTGAACAGCAGTCAAACAAGCAAACAAACTTGATTTAGGTCATAAGTAAAGGCTGCAGGATGTGCAGTGAAAGTGAAATTACATTAAATTGAGTATTTGGATATTACAGAAATAAGGGCAACCCTGAGTTTGTGCAGAAAGAATTTTTGGGGCCATCCTCCCTTTCCCTGTATTGGTGACCCCTAATATTCTTGGGATATTTTACCCATTACAGCAGAAGTGGTACTGTACTGTATAAAACATAGTGTTACACTGAAAATAATTTGGTTTGGATCTTGGACTACTTGTCCAAAGGTTATTAGTGCGAAATAGATGGTGTAAGAGAGCTATATTTATAGATGTACAACATGGGCATTCAGAGTTAGCTTGTGGATTCTTAAGCTGTGTTTACATAACATGCTTACAGGCACTTAACTTTTACTCAACTTTTCATTAGAATTATTTTCATTAGTTTTCTTTTAGTATGAGTAAGTGTTTGGTGTCATAATATGCTGGATTAGGTCTAGAAAATGGAGGTCAGTCTACATAAGGCACATTACCTTTGGAGATTCAATTGGTGTCTCCAGCAAGAAGCATATTTTAGTTCCTTGAATTGGATTGCCAGTTATTGAAATGGACTATTTGGATCATATGTTCTAAAATGCAGTGAGTAGACTATAGAGTTTAGATAGGTTACTCTGTTGGTTACCCCCAAGTAACTGATTGTACTGAAGTCTGTATTAGTTTCTGGTACATTTTAAAGTCAGTTCAAAACGCTGGTTTTAACCCATAGCCTAAAAAGCTTGTAACCAAAATAATGTTTCTGATTACAAAGAACTACATGATAGAAATCGTGTAGGACTCATCAGCGTCTAAAGTGAGCTGGATAAAGAAGGGTACTTCATTGCAGGGTCTGAAATGTAGAATTCCCTCCTTTGGAAAACCTTATCTGTCCCAGGCAGTTGTCTTTTGGAGGCAGCTAGACAGCCATTCAAATAGACGGAGCAGGCAGGTACATAGGTTACCTGGTTCCATTTTTGTTATAATTATCTGGTTTTATTTCAGTAAGTACTAATTAACTCCTTAATTAATACTTACTGAAAAGTTATTCAAATCTACATCTCTTTTTGTCAAAATGAAAGAGAAATTAATCTTCCATTCAGTATAATCAAACCTCCAATGTGTGCATTTAGATAGCAGATAAAATTTGTTATATTTCTCTATATCTGCCCCTTGTTCCATGTTTTATTTTCTGTCTCTCGGCTTTTTTGGGAAGAATGCTGGAATTGATTATTATTTTAGAAATTTTAGTGTCAATTTTGTTGTGATTGCTTTGTAGCCTGTTTTTATGATACCTGGGAAAAAATATGTTAATTAAAAAAAACTTGTTCTAAAAATTGCTGAAGCAGATCTCTGACTAATAAACACATAAAAGTGTAATTAATACTAGGAGCAATTAGAAAATAAAAGATTGTTCTTTTTAACTATGTGTGAAGGTGAGCAGCTGCTGCAATATATTTAATGAACATATTAATAAGCTTTGTGGCTTGATAAAGACACTCTTGTATTTATACTCTGCACCATACCATCAAAAATATTGCATATCTACAGTTATATAGTTAAATTAGATAGACAGAGTTCACCAAATAACTGATATTATTGTTGGTGTTATTATATCTGCTTGTTACTAATAGTTGCATCCATATATTCATTAAAAGGATTGGCACAGCTGTATCCTGGTGTGTTAAAATATATTACTTCTCCTGTAGCATTATACACTGATTATATTTTCTTTATTTATGAATTGCCTTCAGAATATTTTATGAAGGTTCACTACTGTAATGAA